ATTTTGTATAGTGTTCCCCGCTAGCGGGTGACGCGGCAAATTTAAAATCAGCTTTCCCGCACCCGCGGGTAACACGTACAGACCCGTGAAAGTTTTTTACGGGTAAATTACTACCTCGGGAACCACGGAGTCTAGGAGGCTGAAATTTTAAAATAATGGTCCCCTGCCCACGCTCGACCTTGACTATTCAAATTCAGCGTTCCCGCGCTCTTGAGTATCACCTACGGCCTCATGAAAATTTTGGCGAGTAAAGTATTAACTCGGGAATCACGGAAAGATATTCACCCTTCAATGTTTCGGATTCAGCTTTCATGCGCTGGTGTGTAAATTTTTAATTAATATCCAGTGTTTGAACTATTTCTGCATAGACTAAAGTACAAAGCAGTGAAAATCATTAATAGGCAATTATTCGATGGCTGAATTGCACAACACGCATGACTGCACCGGCTAGTCTGGTGCGCGTTGCTATTTATTTTTCAAAGGAACCACGCAAGAGGTTACGGTTTGAAGAACGTGAAATCAATAGAGGTTCAGACTTCAAAGAATGTTAATAAAATTTTAAAACACTATTGCCAGTCCTAGGCACAATTAGAATTCGAGGTCCATTCATTACCATCGTTCTGCGTACCCACAGAATTATCAAATTTTCAACAGAAAATGAGGCATGCGGACGAGCTAGGTGTACCTGTAGCATTGGATATAACTTCCGTATCATATCCAGTGTCAACGAATTCAACGCTTTCGGCCGATTTAGCAACACAATTTGCTTGCCATTCACATTTCTCGTTATTAGTTCCTCGCCGTTTGCCGTTGAAAATAACTGAAAAATATTTCACTGTCAAAAGCTAGTACGAGAAAATAGCTCAACAATCAGATAACGGGAAACGGAAATTATTCGCCATAACAGGTGCTCTCTCACTGTGAGCAAACACGGAAGGGTTTTTTGACTTTTAACTTTTAATATGCTTGTAACAGGCAACAGAGCAGCAGCTGTACAAATGTGTTCAAAGTTATTTAAAATACACAGCAGCTATTACGTGTTAACTGGAACTATTACGTGTCAATATGAGCTTAAAAAATCCCATAAATTCAGATTTTTAGCTGCGAACTCATCCAATAAAGCAAGATAAGTGACTTTTGTAGCGATCTTTAATGGTACAAAGACCTGAATAAAACCAAAAACTTCCGGCCAAATATGCTATGATAGATTTTTAGCTGCCAATTCATCTAATAAAGCAAAATAAATGATTTTTGTGGCAATCTTTAATGGTACAAAAATCTGAATAAAACCAAAGGCTTCCTCCGGCCAGATATTTTACGATAGTTTGAAACTGACAAAAAACCAGGCATTTTTGAGGAACTGCTCAGATACAAACTAAGTATGCCAGGAAGACACTGCGTTCTATTTCTGTCCACTGTCCAGCATTACAGGCCACTGTTCACTCGATCAGTGGGTGACAACGCCTAGAGCTATACAAAAAGCCCGCAGAAAGCACCAATGTGATATGAGAAACATGGATAAAACGAAACAATAAATGGCCTTAGGGGATTTGTGCATTCTTGGTTAGGTTTAAGGCGGTAGATTCGTAAAAGGAAGATGATGGGCTACTAAGAAGAATCTCAACTGGAAAATAAAGAAGCCACGGGACGGTCTGGACCTCTCAAATCAATCGATTTCGAGAAATGAGCTCATCCGCCTCCCAGAGAAATCGAAAGAACATCATGCCACTTCTTTGGAAGTGTGTGAAACACGACGAAGGACCGAACACATCATGACTTTAAGTGATTGTTAAACGCAGGTTTATCACCAGCATGAAGTGTTGTCTAAGTGTTCTTCGCAAATTGTACTTCGTCAATTTCAGATGTTTTTTTTGCAATTTTTATTTCTTCAATAAGACGAAAAAAACAGCAATATACTTACAGTTTTTCTTGTGCAATCGAACAGCGCACGTCGAAACAGCATGCGATGGAGTACCATTGCGCAGCGTGGAGCAGCACTGAAACGATCAGCACTGTACTGGTGTAGCAGCCGAACGACACAGAATACGCATCCAGAAAGTGCTGAACTTGTGGATCTCAGCACAAACCAAAGGCATCTAAAGCCTTGTCAAATTGCTTCTCCAGGAAGAACCGCTAAGCTAGTAACCCATTCAGGCCACCCACGAAAAGCACGCTCACTGCCACTTGACACCACTCAAACATCTCTTCTAGGAATGTGTACCGACAAACACTCACATACACACACACACACACATGCACACACACAAACATACACACACACACACACAAACATACATGCACACATACACATACATACATACACACACACACACACAAACACACATGTACACAAACACAGTGGATCGTCGCAATATGCGTTCTTGCATTCGCATAAAAACTCAATGAATTTCGTCCTTGCTCTCATGAAGGTTTTGCTATCAATCCTAGGACTTCGGGTGAGAGATGCCAGGACCTCATGTGCACCAGAACTGGAACTTTCATGGTAACGGAAGAAGGGTGGAGATAGGGGGAGGGGGAGGGGATGTGTGAGTTCCAACTGAAGCATCAGGCGAACTTTAGGCCCAGGAGAAGCATGAGTTGATATTAGTGAAACACCTTTACCACAGCTGTTACATTTAGAGACTTATTATCAACTGGTTCAGGTGCATACTGGCAATGCCCGTTGTACGCTTAATCCTGGAAATCCGTAAAAAACTGCTTTTTTCCCGGTGCAAAAGCGCTTCCTCCTAAAATCCCCTGGCGCCAACCGCTCACTGCAGTTCACTGCATTCGGTGGTATAGGCGCACACGAAATGACCAGTACTCCTTGGCCAACCAACGAGAGCTAGCCGCGACCACGTAACAGCCCACGCAGGCGTCAAAAAATACCGCAAAATAAGGAATCCGAAACAAAACGCTCAAAGAGCAGACGAAAAATGCGAATAGCTATGCGAAGGAGCACATGCGGAGGCACAGCAGCGTCGCTAAGCGAGGGGTGGAGAGGGTAGCGAGTGAACGAGCTGATCAAAAATCAGCTGATTAGCCTGCTGCTGGGGGCTTGTTGATGGGCGGCGGAAGGCGGAGGGAGGACGAGGGCGCGGGGGAGGGGGGCAGACGGGGCCGGGACAGGGTATGGTACCAGACGTGGGATGCAGCAGAGTGTAGGAGACGTTGGCGCCAACGGGGACCTGCTCCCTCGTTACTTTAACGACGGGTGGCATGAATTGTATGATTGTTCATGCGTTCGGAAATCGATGATTATTCAGAAGAGAAGCCACTTGCCACTGCTCGCATGCCAGTCCCTCCAAAGATTCGTTCATTCATTTCAATGGTAAATTGCTACTGGTACATACGCCAGGGTGTCAAACCCGCCATCAGCTAGCTGCTTGTGAGTAACTCTCAAAAGAGGGAGCCATCGACAGCCTTGCCAGTGCATGATTTACTGTTGGCATTTGCTACCAGCCGGGCCACTTCCGAATGCCTCCGCCTTTCAGGGCGCACGTTTGGGAAGGGGTTTTTAGTGTTGCCCAGCTATTTTTTCACTGTTGTTCCAGCAAATTTTGGTGCTCTTCCGGTATTCTGCCTCGTATTTCTGTCCCGAACACAGTGCTTCATGCGTATACATTTTCCTTCATTCATGCTAGGTCGATGCGCGGGATTCTACGTTCGTATCCACGGTGGGCAAGCTCTGACTGCCTCACTGGCAACGGGTGCACGTCAATTCGTATTGATGAGTGGCAGTGGTGAGAAAGCAAACGATCATTCGGGTGGTTTGCGAGGAGTTGGCGCACATACATAGAACAATCGATGGTATTTGCTGTAGGCAAGCAGTCCAGAATCGAAGGGGACGACATAGCTGCTTCCCTAGTAACATCATTAATAAGGGATACCCATATTGATTGCCCGAGTGGTCTTGGTGTTCTTGATATATTAAAAAAATAATCGGATGAATAGGAATGTTTCGGTTGACTAAGGCGGCTTTAACACTCTTAGTAATTCGTTGACGAGAGCTAGAATGTGGCCTGTCGCCCTTGGGCTGGAATGGTGCTTTTATCAAAAAAATCTTTTTTTCATGTTCGAGCCAGTTAATCGTCCTACCACTTGGGCTTCACTTTCAGCTTTTTATGCGTTTTTGCTGTGCAGTGCTATAAGAGCGCGACCAATATGAGCCCAGGTGCTGGGCTACAGCGCAGGGATCATTCCTGCTATTAGCAACCTGCAAGTTTAGTGCAAAAACGCATGATCGCACCGGCTCGGCTGGTGCGTTCCAGCCGAGGTTTTAGTTTGAGCCTCATTTTTCCTTTTGCCAATTCGACTCTGCTGAATCAGGCTGCACTGGCGTTCTTTGCGCTGTATGAGGAGCGTTGCGCAGCATGCACTGTGGGCTCTGTGGGACGCCCGCGTTGCATTCGGTGGATCAGTTCGTCCGTGTTTTCAGATTGCTACAGACCTAAACCCGTAGCACCAGGTGGGTCGGTGCGTGGCGTGGGCAAGTTTGCGGTGTTTTTTGGTGCCGTGGTGTTCAAGAAGAGGGAGAGGAATAGAGGCGGTGGTGATTGGTACCCGGTAAAGCGGACGTCGATTGAAGTCGGGTTGCCCCGAGCACGATCGCCCGGTCAGTTAGTGTGGGGGATGCGATCTTTCTGGTGTTACTGGGATGTGCGCACACGTGGCTCGGTGCATGTTCCCCTTACTAACCCCCGCTCCCGCCTCACCCCCTTCCGAGTATCCCCGAATGTGCGTAGTACGTTCAGCGATTCCCCTCCCCTGCCCCCCCCCGCCCAAGTGTCGTCTTTTCGTATTTCTTGCAAGCGCCACTCACTGTTACGCAACAAGCAGCGATCATTGCAGGGCGAGATTGATCGTGCACAAGTACTGCTTTGGGAATCTGTGCCCGGTCATTAGCCGCTCCCCTCCCCAAGACCGCTTTTGCATTCCTCGAATGAATTGCCGCATCACGGGCCCCAGCCTCTGGCAGTAGAGTATTGCTTAAGCACAGTGGCAAGCTCTCCCGCGGTAGACTCTTACCACAAAATGGGGCACTGTACTGATGATTCCCAGTCTATCTCGCACCGGCCCTGCTTTCTGTGTGTTTACAGCTCAGGGATGAAACATGGGCAGGCTACCAGATCACAGAAAATACAGTCTTGCCTGTATGCGACATGCAAATGTCGCTTCTGGGTGTTTTCATTAAATTACCAAAATTCGACAGTGTGTTTCTCTCCACAGTGGGCTAACTGCGCCAGGTCTACTGCATATATCGATACGTAGCAGCCGATTTTAAGCCCTCAGTCCTCCTGCATTCTCCCGGCCACGGATATTCACTGTTTATATCTCCAAAATTCCCCTGACCCTTCAGCTGAATTCGAAAAGAGATGTGTGGAAGTGTTCCTTCACGTTGATAAAGATGCGAAGCCAAAACCTTGTCTCCATCGAGCCCAAACTTCGTGTGGAAACTGGTGGGGGAGGGGGAAACCAGGCCAGGGAATGGGCATTTTCGAGTTGACCCAGAAGTGGACACTTATTTCTCGATGTTAGGCGGCGTTTTCTTGTGAACAGAGCACTTTTCCGTGGGTTGTTAAGTGTTATGGGCTAAAACCAGCTATATGCCAAGTTCTGTGCGAATAGGCAGCGAAATCCTAGGATTTCCCTCCGCTAGTCCAGCTGTCCTAAAAAAAACTTTGGCGGTCCGTTACGCGATTACCACGCTTACCCGGGAGCTGCCTTTGAGCTCGTTAGCACCCATTTGGACGGGAAACATCCTCTTATGATTTCAGCTTTCTAGCTTCTCAGATTTCCGAGGCGCCCTTCCCCTTTCCCCTGTTCCAACCTTGCCCATTCCCGCTCACCTAAGAGGCCTGTCTTGCTTGAAACAAACTTGGTAGGGTTTTAGCCCAAGTTTCAATATTTTATACCTTAATTCTTCAATTTTACAGCGCATTTTAGTACTTCTGACACGATTCTGATGCTATCTGACTGGATTGTTGTATTCCTGGCTTTTTTTGACGAGGGTTTTTTTCACGTTTGATTAAACTTGCCTCAGTTCGCAGGGAATCTTACGTCCACTTACTCCACCAGTTCGCTTATACTTTCACATGAAAGATCCAGACCACCGTAAAAATTTGCTATTCCTTGTGTGCGCCTCTGGTGGCTTTCGGTAAAGGAAGGGACGACGCGTGTACGCCTGTTGTCTTGCTTGGGACCGTACGGGCTCGTTTTGATGTGATTTATTTCAGGAGACGAAGTTGCCGTGAGCGAGTCAATTATGTCGGGCGGTTTGGAAGCTTTCCAGCTGAAGGAGGACGATGCGATGAAGCTGTTGGTCTGTCAGGTGCATATCGGCGCCACAAACTGCGACTTTCAGATGGAGCAGTACGTATGGAAAAGACGAGCCGATGGTAACTTCTCCATTCCTTTATCATTCACTGTCTTAGGCAAAATACACAAAATTTTACACTTATTCTCTAATAAAATCTTATATTTTGTAATAATTATCAATTCCCTTCCCAACTAGTCCATATAAAGCCACAATCGTTGTACTGACGCGGTCCAGCTGTGACAATAGCAAGAAATGTATACGACTTCATGGACCGAAGCATTTCTTTCCAGTTTACTAACTTCTTCAAACTTGTGGTCCTGTCAGTTCATTTTATTTATTTTATAATATTTATTAGTTCTGGCAATAAATATTATAAATATTATAAAATAAAAAGAACCAACAGAACTAATAAATATCTTTAAATATCAGAACTCATAAATAAAAAGAACTAATATCTTTTCATTCTTTTAGTTTTAGTTTAAAATTTAATTGCCACTTTACTGCCTATTTTTTTCGCAAGCCACGGAGTGGCAGTTTAGTTTGCTACTTAAATGCCTATTCGGGCTGTCCCCAAAGAGATGGCGCACATAAATCGAGAAAACGGTGGGTCCTGGCCCGGTACTGAAAGGCCTGGCACATCTGCTCGGAGTGTGGGAACAACCCAGTAACATCAGTAACTTGAGATTCCTTTAAGTGTATTATAACACGCCAGTATTCCCATTATGAATGATACATATCTAAAAGAAGAAATATGATAATAATATTGCCGGCTATCTGAGCGAATGGCTTGTTGTTTCTGTTATATGTACGGGCAGTTTCGCCAGACTTTGTGCTTGTCACGCTTTCTATGCAAAGCAAAAACACATATTGTCAAGGGATTGTCTGAGTGTGTGCGTATATGTGTGTTTGTGTGTGTATAGCATTTTTCATCTCGAGACCCGGAAAGCGGGAGGGCTGAAACTTTGGTAGCTTACTCTGTACCTATTTGCGGGCCCGTATCCTCAAAGTGATTGGTTCACGTTTGTGTGGTTCTCGCGTATGGGCAGACGAAAATTTCTGGCGGATAAGTTGCTAAGTGGGTAATCGGAAAAGCTAGAAAGCTGGAATTTTATGGGGGTGTTTTCTGACAGTCGTGGTGGCAAGTTTCAGTTCTTTTAGCTAGAAGCATCTGCCGGAAAAAAAAACAGCGTCGTTAGTGACAAAAACCCGCGGGAAACTGTGCAAAAAATGCATCTTTGCAGCGGCAGCCAATGCGCTGGCCATTTATTTTGGCATTGCAGCAGCTTGCGCAGTAATAGTGTGCCGCGGACGGCTTATGTGCTAAGCAACTGCTACTTCAGGAACTCACATAATTAATATTCGCATGACCTGGGAGAAGCTGCTGCTTGCTGCACGTGCCATTGCGGCTATCGACAATCCGGCGGATGTGTGTGTTGTTTCGGCACGCCCGTACGCGCAGCGTGCTCTGCTCAAGTTCGCAGCTCACACTGGCGCCACGCCAATCTTCGGGCGATTCACACCGGGTTGTCTGACAAATCAGATCCAGAAGCAGTTCAAGGTGAGCCAGTTGATTGAAAACGCATTTTGGGTAAGGAAAAATGTTCAAGACGGTTTCCTTATGTTTTTTATTTTTCGCACATCTGAGCAGTAACGTGTAAAATACAATAATTGGCCAACGCACGGGCTGCGCGTGCGAAGATGCGTTTTTTGCATGGCTCCCCGCAGTTTTTGTTGCTACCGGCACCGGTTTTTTCGGCAAGTGCTTCTAGCTAAACAAATTAAGACTGGCCACCAGAACTGTCAGAAAACATCCCCCTAAAATTTCAGCTTTCTAGCTTCTCTGGCACCTGAGTTAGCAACTTACTGGAACAAAGTTTTCACGGTCCCGTGCATCTTTACCAGCATGCCTGAGAGGAGTTCGAGCAGAATGAAACTTAGGTGAACGGGGTATATCCTCTTAAAATTACATTCCTTTAGCTTCTCAGGTACTT